CCCCCCCCCTCCCCTAGCCCACCCCCCCCCCCCCCCCTCGAAAACCGGGGGGGGTCACTACCGGTTCGAACCCCACCCCCCCCCCCTCCTCCGAAAACCGGGGGGGGTCACTACCGGTTGGAACCCCCCCCCCCCCCCCCCCACCCCCCCCCCCCCCCCCCCTACTCACCGCCAGCAAACGACTCCCGGTCCCCACCACCGTCCGCATCACATCCCCCACTGGTGTTCCCAGCACCACTGTCCTCACCACCGCTGTCCCCACTGGTTCCACCACCGCCCCTACTGTCCCCACCAGTGGCCCCACCACTGTCGCACTGTCCCCGCTGTCCCCAGAACTGTTCCCACCACGGTTCCACTCTCCCCACTGTCTCCACGGCCCCAACCACTGCCCGACTATCCCCACTGTCCCCACTGTCCCACTGACTCCTCCGCTGTCCCACTGAGCTGTCCCACTGTTCCCACCACTGTCCCCACTGTCCCCACCACTGTCCCCACTGTACCTCTGTCCCATTGTCCCACCGCCGTCCTCGCCACCGCCTTCACCACTGTCCCCACCACCATTGTACCCTCCACTGTCCCACTGTTTCCACCTCATTCCCATTGTCCCCACACCACTGTCCCCACCACCACCGTCACCACCACTGTCCACTGTCCCCCCTTGTTCCCACCATTGTCCCCACCACTGTCCCCACCACTACCGTCCCCACTACTGTCCCACTCCCCACTGTTCCCACCACTGTTCCCACCACGGTTCCACTCTCCCCACTGTCTCCACGAACCCAACCACTGCCTATCCCCACTGTCCCCACTGTCCCACTGACTCCTCCGCTGTCCCACTGAGCTGTCCCACTGTTCCCACCACTGTCCCCACTGTCCCCACCACTGTCCCCACTGTACCTCTGTCCCATTGTCCCACCGCCGTCCTCGCCACCGCCTTTACCACTGTCCCCACCACCATTGTACACTCCACTATCCCACTGTTTCCACCTCATTCCCACTGTCCTCACCACCACTGTCCCCACCACCACCGTCCCCACCACTGTCCACTGTCCCCCCTGTTCCCACCATTGCCCCCACCACTGTCCCCACCATTGCCGTCCCCACCACTGTCCCACTGTCCCACGCTCCCCACCACTGTCCTGCTGTCCCCTCGCCACTGTCCCCACCAACACCGTCCCCACCACTGTCCGCACCCCCACTCGGTTTTCGAGGGGGGGGGGGGGGGTTCGAACCGGTAGTGACCCCCCCCCTTTTCATGATGAACTGGGGGGGGGGGGAGGGGTTCGAACCGGTAATGACCCCCCCCGGTTTTCCGGAGGGGGGGGGGGGGGGAGGGGTTCGAACCGGTAGTGACCCCCCCCGGTTTTCCGCCAGCAGCGGTAGAACACGCTCTTTCGTACATATACATATATGTACGCATCTGGATATAATGGTGAAGCGAGCGGAATTCGCACACGCTTCCGGCCCGTTCCGCCTCGGCCGGGGTGCGGGGCGAAGCGTGCTCGGCCCCTGCCGCGCCTCTCGCTCTCCCGCGGGACGTGCCTCGCTCTCCCCTCGGGGGCTCGCACAGCGGAGCCCACCCCGCCACGTCGCGGGGTGCCTGCGCGTGCCCACCGCCCCGGCTGCGGCACCACACCAGGCAGCAGGGCACAAGCTTGCATGCCATTCGGGGTCCCCTAGGGTTAGGTCGGGCACGTCCCCCTACAGGCAGATTCTTGGTAACAGAAATCCAAACCTACCCCCTAATAGTCAACAAATAATCAAAAACTGGTCCCCCGATTGAATCTTTCTCCTGTAAAGGAACAGGCCCGACTTAACCCTGGGGGGGGGATAAACCAGGACGCTGGTGAGCCCTAAAAAGCTGCAGCCGTGGCCCCAAAGCATTCTCAATTCTTCGTTCTCCACATTTGAGCCGGGGAAGCCCGAAGCCCTCCTCCCGCCAAAGGGCGGGTCCGCGGACCCATCCAGATCCCGCCAACCCGTTCGACGGGGACGGAAAAGCGACCCAACTACGGTCGGGAAGTTGAGCTCCATGTGCCGCGTCAGCGGCCCCAGCGACTGGCTATGCACTGCGAGCTGATGGCGTGTCGCGCCGCTTCGCGGGGTTGGAGGCTAGAAAGGGCTGTTGACGTTGATGCCTGGGAACGGGGGAATGGTTCGAGTGTCGCGCCGAAGCGTGGTGGGCCAGAACCAGCAGCGCGACACGCTACGCAAGCGTTTCTGACCGCATTTGGTAATAATTACGCCTCCCCTGGACCCAACTTCACGGGGTGGGCGGGTGAAGGGACAAACTTGAGGCGCACAGCGGCCTACCAGCACTGCGTTCTTGTGATGGAGTAGCACGAGCGACCGACCCGAACACATAGCACACACACAGATCTTACGGCTGATCCTCAACCTTGCCATCGCTCGGACGCTTCCCCGTGCATTTTCGGTTTTGCGCGTGGTGTTTTGCTCGATGGTCCAGGATGCTCCTCGATTGTCCTCGCCGAGAACAACAAAGCACACGTCCGCGCGATGCCAAGCAACCACAGAACATGGCCAGACAGCCCCCGCCACGGAGCTTCGCCTACATGATTTCCGAGCGTGCGCGTCGGCCGTGCGCGGCAGCCGCACCGCCAGCAGAAGCGCATCCTGGGCGAGGCCGGGGGCGACCAAGACGAGCGCGTCCAAGAGGGGGGGTCGCAAAGCATGGTCCGAGGCATGTGCGCGGACCGGTGGGGGGGGGGCAGGAGACGTACTAAGTAAGACGAGGGGGGCATGACATTTGGGAGATAGCATGGGGTGGGCCATCGTGAGATCCACCCCTGTGATCATCACCCCCCTCTTGGTTAGCCCCCGAGTGGTGCCGACGAGCTCGTCAGCGCCCCACCCGTCACAAGCACTCCTTCCTGCTGCACGCTGTCACTATCGAGCAGGTCTACAAAACACAACACGTCCAAAACAAACTTGGACTAACTTTGAACCGCGGTCTGCGTTGCAAGGCACACGCTTCGGCCGATTTTGGCGGCGCACAACAGGGGGTAGCGGGAGGTGGGGAGGCTAATTAGAAGCATCCTGGTTCTTAGAAGGCCCCGGCCCTACGTCTACAGATAAGACCCGCGCCTTCTAAGAGGAAGGGGTGCTTGTAAGAAGCCCTCCCTACCCCCCTCTGCGCGTGGCAGACGATTAGCAGAAATCTCGTGCCCGTCGCGCGAGAGAAAGCACGTGCCGTGGCCGCGCGGGCGGACAAGGGGGCGGGGCGCGCCGAACGCCCGCGGTCTGCAAAACTCCTCGGCGGGGGCCCCGCAAATGCCCCACAAATAATGAGTATCGTTTAACCGATCCCCCTCCCCAGCGGCGTGGCCTGGGCCCCACTGGCAGATCTACCCCCCTGGATGGGGATATAGGTCGATCCCTTCGGGTTTCGAGGGGTGTATCCCCAACTGGGGTGGTAATTTGGTGGGGGTCTCGAAGGGTGGATGGGGATGGGGATTGGCTAAACGATACCGGACTAGCGGAACCATTTTGTTTGGAACCGCCCCTGCCTTGCTTGCAGCCGCCGCGTTGTTTCTGCAGCCCCGGTCCATGTCGTGGAATGTGCGGAAGGCACACACTTGAAGCTCCCAGGCGGCTACAAAAACCATATCGCAGCCACCAATGTTGTATCCGAAGTGGCCTTTTTGGCAAACGGTCTGGTCGCTTCGATGTTCTCTTCGGTTTCTTTCTACCCCTAAAGGCGCTGCCCCTCTCTCCCTCCCCCGACCCCGATGATATAATCCCAGCTCACATGAATGCAAGACGTGGCCACCGTGGGCACGTGAAAAGAAACTGCTGTGTAGCGCAAACGCGTTTCGCGATCTAACACACATACGATTTAAATCAAAAGATTCCATATGTGCGATTCCGGAAGCCCTGTGCCCAAAGAACGTTTCCATCTCTTGGGGGCGCATTTTTTACTTCCGCCACCTTCCGCCAAGCTTCCGCCGGCGGAGGCGGACTCGTTCTACTTCCGCCGACATACCGCCGACGTTCCGCCGCCTTCCGCCGCGGAAGAAATGACAACTCCTTCGATCCTCGAAGGCGCGGCCGTTTTGGGGACGCCACATGTACAGGCGTGCTTGCGCATGCAAGAGCGGGAAGATGTGACACCCGGGACCCGAGCAGGAGGAGGAGGAGGAGGAGGAGGAGGAGGAGCGCCACCCGGCGCAACCCCCGACGTGGTGCAACACGCGACGCGGCTGGGCCGCGGGACGTCTTGGTGGGCCTGTTTTCCACCCCCACCAACATAAGCAGGAGGGGGAGGGGGTCCTCCTCCTCCTCCTCCTCCTCCTCCTCCTCCTCCTCCTTCCCTTCTTCCTCCTCCTCCTCCTCCTCCTCCTCCTCCATCCCCTTCCCCCTCCAACCTATGGTGGTCGTGGTGGACAACAGGCCCATCACTTCTTGTTCAAATCCTTGGCGCGGCCCATGGCGCAGCCTACGGCGCAGCCTGTGGCGCACGGACGGCGCCACAGACATGAGAACGATTTTGGGTCCGCCTCGCAACTCGGTGGGGAAGATGCCGTGCTGCGCCGTACCGTGCGCAATGGCCGCGCCGTGCCGTGTAGTGCGCTGCCGTGTGGTGCCTCGTCCTTCCACGTGTCGCTGTGCGAGGCCTTCCTTGGCCGGATGGCCAGAGCCACTGCGGCTATGACGGTTATGATAACAGTTTTGATGCAGATCTGCTGCGGCGATCGTGGAAGTGGTGATCGGTAAGAACAGCGACCATGGTCCAGACACTCGGTGGGTACATGTTCCACCAGACCATGCCGCGCGACAAGCGGGACTGTTTCGGAGACCACCGAGCATCCTTAAGTGGAGAGAGATCCACCGGTTCAACGGCGATGAACACCAGTGGATGACTCCGGGCGCAACAGGATGATGGTGATAAGTGTAATGAGTGTGTGGTGTAGCCTCGGCTCGGGGATACTTCACCTGACGGATGTCCTGCTGGGCACGCATCGTCGTCTGACGACATGGGCTCAAACAGCCCCAGCGTCGACGTCGCCACGCCGGGGGGCCTGCGGGGGGCGAGATCCTCCCGCCATTCCCGATGCTGCGCTGCCCTCCCGCTCCTCGCTCCCACATCTCCTCCTGCCCCTCCTCGTCCTCCCGATCATCCCTCGCCCTTCTCTTGCCCAGGCGCTCTGCTGCCCGTCCCTCCCCCTCGCCTCTCGTCCTACTCATTATCTCTCTCCCTCCGCCAGGAGGGCGACGAGCGGAATCCTCCGCCTTCTCCTCCTGGTCGCCTCACTTCGCATTCCTCCTGCTACCCGTTCCCCCGTCCTCAATGACCTCTTCCTTACTCGCTGTCCCATTTTCTCATGCCCTGCTCCGCCTCGTCGCGTTACCATTTGCGTGTCGGCAGGTCGGGCCGGGCGCTGCGCCTGATACGCCCCCACCATTAATGACCCTAAAGCTCAACTTCTTCTTTGCAATTACATCGGCGAATTGCGGCCCGTGCTCAAACCAACGTTGTCGCCCTGTAGCCGCACATATCGGAGTCGGAGTCGGAGGCCGGCATGCGCCGGAGCGCGCCCTGCTCGGGCTGCCTGGCGAACTGCCCACAAGCTGACGACGTCTAGATTATCGCACAATTTCTCGCAAGCTTCTTCCCATACCTGTAGCTGACGGGGGGCGTGGGTCATCGACGGGTCCCGTTTCCAGGGGAAAGCGCGGCTTTCCGCCGCGCCCGGCGGTGCAATATACTAACGGCTGGCATGCAACTGGCCAGCCGGCGCCTGTTTCAGACCACATCACACCAGAGGAAATATTAACCAAGCATGGCCGCGAGGATTGCTTTGGCGGAAAAACGCACATATTCGCCCGAAAACTTTCCAGTAGCTGCAAGTATAGAGCGCTCGTGGTTTTTAAGATGAGACTCTCGCCTTAGCGTTGCGCATACTCGCTTGAAGCTCTTGCAGCGACTCAGGGAACGGAGGGCGAGTGGTTTGGAACAAGTGTCTCTCGCCTTGGGCACGCGTTCATTTGATCCAAGTGTTGCTCTTCACCACAAAAACAGCACATTTGGCAAACGTTATGTGACTGGAGGGCGGTTCTTCTCAAAATGGGTTAATCGTTTGGGACTTCCCTATGTTTGATTACCAGTTGGATCAGATTGTGCAGTCGTGACACGGACGAAGGCGATGTGACCAATCTTAGATTTCCTAAACCATCTCTTCGAACAAATGGTACTCACAGCAAGCGGTGGGTGTGAAGCCCTTTCCCCGCTGGTTTTGCTTGAGGTTCCTCGATGTTCCTCGGCGTTTCGCTTGAGAAGGCGGTCTCTGGAGTTGACCCGGGTTTCTGGGGGGTTCTCGGCCCTTGCCAAGCAATGCCAAGCAACGTCACGCAATGCCAAGAAATGCCGAACAACGCTATGCAATGCCAAGCAATGGGAAACAAAGCAATGTCAAGCAGAACATCCATCCCAACCAATGTTTGACGCTGCGTCCAGCCGTGGCGATGAGGAGCCCCCTCCCCAGGGCCAAAGAATGACGAACAGCGAGGGCGAGAAGGATGAGGGAAGCAAGGGCGTCATCAGAAGGGCCAGCATGGCACTCCGGAGGTTGCCAGAAGTGGCTGGCCCAAAATAAATGTCCTCGGCTTCCCCCGCCAGTCTGGAGCCCCTGGGTGCCTCCTCCTGGGGGGTGCGCTGGAGGCTGCCTGGGTCTCCTCTTAAACAGCTGGGATCGCCGCGGCCCAGGGCCCATCTCTGGCAGCACCCGTAGAGGAAGGAACCAAGGCATAAGCATAAACTGTCCGAGGTCCGCGCGACACTGTGGGATTGGCGCTGGGCCCCACCTGGTGGCGCCTCCAGCGCCGACCCCGGCGCGCTCTGCGTTCTGCGCGCCAGGCAAAATGGTATATCTTGCGCTGGTGCGAAGGCTCCGCGCGGACCTGTGAACGTTCATGTTTCTGCAGTCTTCCTTCCTCGGAGCACGAGCTCTGGCCCGCGCGCGCGCTCGCGCGACGCCCTCCCCCGCCCCCGCAAGCGGGGCGCTGCACCGTGGAAGAGCGGCAGATAGGGGGGCGAACGAACGTGCACCTTGCGTGGCCCGTCTGGGCCCCCAGAAGGCCCTCCCCAGGGCCCCGAGAATGCACAAGAGCTGCCCCTGTCTTCGCCTCCCATCCATCGCCCCCCGCCATTGCGCAACGCCCGACCAAAACCGAGGAAGCGCCTGCTGGGCGCCGCAGCCGCTGGGCCCCTGGATGCGCTGGCGGCAGAAGCCACTGCGCTCGCGGCCTCTGGGGCGGACGGCACGGGAAGAGAGCACAAGAGCCAGACCCCCGACGTCGTGATTGTTTCACCACGTGGACCTCCAGAGGATGCCCTGCCCGCGACGCGCCACCCCGACAGCCCTCCATCCCGACAGCGCCAGCCGGCCGTAGCCTCTCTCGCCTTGAAGCATGCGATCTCACGTCGCTAATATGGGATCCAACTTCTGCGGAATTCCTCACACCATATCGACCAGTTTGGGCCGCGGGGCCCGAATGTGAGCTCCTCCCCCATACCTCTTCCTTATGATAACTCCTCCCTGTCCAACTCCCGGACGTGTCAAAGCCTGGCACCTGCAACCGTTCAAATGATGGAAGGGGTGATGGTTTTCAATTATGCGGCTCACGCCTTTGCGCCGCACGCAGTCGTCCCAACAATTGTAACAATTTCGCGGGTGGGGTGGGGGATCCGATTTGTTTTACAGTGCGGTTCTCGCCTGAACGCCGCGCGCAATCGTCCTACAAGAGTGCAAGAACTGCACGGATGCAGGGGGCGGGGGTGTCGTCTGCAAAATGTGGTTCTCGCCTTGGTACCGCGTTCATTCGCTTTAGAAGTTATCTGCAGCTTCGCGGATGGAGGGAAGGGAAATGCACACATAGTTGTCGTAGTAGCGCTGCGGTCATTCGCAGTTAGAGGGCGTGTTTGCGTAGTTTGTTCATGGTCACCAGGGTGGGTCCCAGACGATGCGTTCTTGCAAACTGTGCGGCGCAACCTCGGTGGTGCAATTGACTTTCACAAACGAACTGAAACATCCCATGCTCTTGTAATCACCCCACCCACCCACCCGCAAATTGGTTTGCAAAACCCATGAGGCGGCGATTGCGATGAGTGCTTGGCGTTGGCTGGTGCAGCTCTGCGGCCGCGCCAGCCCGGGCATGCTCAAGCGCACAGCGGCCAATTAGTTTGGCGCGACCGTCACGGCCGCGTCGGCGCTGACAGCTGGGCACTTCCCAACGGGCACTTCAATACGAATGGGTGACTCTAGTGGGCGCGTTATCGTAGCGACGCCGGCAACGGTAGACACGATTATGCGAGAAGCGATGGTGGTGACGATGGTGGCGATGACGTTAGCAAGGCCAATGACGGCGGTCTGGCTGTCTCTGGATGCGATGTCTTTGTCTTTGCGCGAACCTCCGCGGCACTCCGTCGCAGTGGGCCCTCATACCCCCGCGGTCATACGGCGTACTGCACCGATGTCCTGTTGAGCTGTAGCCACAGGGGGTGGGAGGGAGGGCTCGCGAAGCGAACCACACACACCCCTGGGTCACAAGATGGTTATGACACTTGCCCCCTTGCTGGCTGGTGGTGGTGTGGGTGGGAAATTCGTTACGCCCGCCCCCCTCCCAAGGGGGGGGACACCATTAAGTCTCTGTCCCCGCCGCTTGGCCGATGGAGAACCAGAAACTGGGGTGCCGAAGTACATCCCCCAGAGGGGTGCCCATGTGAATCATCCAACCTTGCCCCTGGACCCCCATGCCTGGAACCCGGATGCTGCCACACACGCCACTACCATACCGACCCCTGGGCCCCCCCCAGCGGTGCAATGGAATATCCAACGGTTCCCCACTCCCAGGGACAACTTGTCCCATGAATCGATCCTACAACGGCCAGACTGGAGCCTGTCGTGCCTCCAGTCCTGACTGATGTTGACCACGCCCGCCGATACGGTCAACCCGGATAATAAGGATGCGTGGTAAGGGTGCAGGGGCCTTGGAGGGTCACGTTAGCGTTTTTCGAAAGAGGTTGGTCGGCGAGCGTCGCTAAGGATGGGCCGAAGGGGCAAGGCTGCAAGGGCACCCTTGGGAAAGTTGCCCATCCTTGCTATGCGGGTTGACTGTACCGATGACGATGTCCTCGCGTCGGCGATGACTTCTGACGGAGTTCGACCTGCGCGCGCGGGGCCGACGCGCGTGTGTGGCCCCGCGTGTTATGATTTGACGCGGGTCGTGCCCCCCACTCCCCCAGCACGCGCGCCAGGGCGTTCGAGTGAGTTCGACATGCGGCGCGAGAGGTCCGTTTTTGGCAGACTTTGACGAGCATGTTGCGAAAAAACGATGGTGATCGTAAGAATCCGCAAGATCGCGAGCGCAGGCCTATTGAACAACTGTTGTTGCAAAACCATGTTTTCATGTGTATTCGGGACATTCGGTTTTGAAATCTCTGCGGAAACTAGGGTTTTTGATGAATTTCGGCATGCGCGCGCGCGACGGCGCGCGCGTGCACGTCGCCCCATTTTCTGCAAGGGATTCTTGCGACAGCACGCGCGCAAAGGCGTTCGAGCGATTGCGACATGCGCGAGCACGAGGCCCGTCTGGTAGCATGTTATGAGCAGGTTGGACAACATACTGCATGATTTTTCTCAAGAATTCGCAAGAGCACGGGCGCACGCTTTGTTTGAAAACCCTTGTTGCAAAACCATGGGTTGTTTACATGTTGTCGTGACTCTCGACTTTGAAATCCTAACGAAACCTCAAGTGTTTGAGAGACTTCGGCATGCGCGCGCGACGACGCGCGCACCATTGTTCGCAAAGGGATCATTGAAAACTGCTGTTGTGTTATATCCGAGTGTGCGCGCATAGTATGGTTTGCAGAAGGTGAGGGGGGCGATACTGGCCTGCCAGGGATGGTATGAATTCATATTTCGGATTGACAGTGGGGCAGAATCATACGCGAATTGTAAGACGACGAAGGGGAAACGTTAATTTCTGTGGGGGGGGGTAGATCTTACAACTGTTCTGAAAAGGGGAATCAGCGTGGTGAACTGCACGTGGTGCAAAACAATACAAATCAATGGGAAGCAACGCGAGGTAATGCAAAGTAACGCTTTGGAATACAGCGCAGAACGCTGCAAACCAACACAAGCCAATGCAATGCAATGCGATTTCAAAGCAGCACAAAGCAATGCGCAGCAGCGCGACGCACTGCGAAGCACTGCGACCCAAATAAAAACGCTGTTTTGCAATGCTTGGCGATGCAAAGCGACGCACAATGCAACGCAATTCAAAACACTGCGAAACTATCGAGAACAATGCACAACAATGCAAAACAATGCGAAACAAAGCAAAACAACGGAACGCGACGCAGCGAAACGCAATGCAAGGCATTGCGGAGCAATCCGATGCAAAGCAATGCGAAGCAATGCAACGCAGCGCCAAGTAATACGAAGCAGTGCAAAAAGCAATGCAACGCGATGCAAACCACATCAGAGCAATGCGATGCCAGGCACAACTGTACACACCAGTGCAGGACAGCGCAGCGCCAGCCGCGGTGCAACGCGATGGCAGTGCAGTGGTATTGCAGTGCAGCGCGGGGAGGGGGCGGGTGCAAAGGAGCGGCGGCGACGGGCGGAAACGGGGCCGCTGGGGCCGCACACGGGCCTTGCATGGGGCGGCGGGCGGGCGGGAACGGGCGGGGGGGCAGCGCGCGGGCACGGCTCGCTAGCGGCGGCATGATCGACCCCTGCGGGCAAGCACTGCCGGGGGGGGAACCAAACAGGCGCTCGCGTGATCGCTGTGCACATTCGCACCACAACCTTGCAAGGATTTCACTGGCGGTTCCCTCAACCGCAGCGAAAGCCAATCTTAGAAAACTCCGTACTCGTGCACTGCAGACCACGACAGCATGGCTGCGCCGCAACGTGGAAATGGAGGGGCGACTGACAACCGTCGAACCGCACGCATCCGCACGCAGTATTCTCCAGAGGAGCCGTTCGACAAAAAGCCACCTTGAAGCGAGCCGAATGAAGGACGGCGACAGGCCCACGCAACACTCGACAACCAGTTCGCCTCCCAACGGAGGGGGAGGGACCAGCGGAGAGAAACACATATAATCACCAATGCTCGTGGGTGCGGAGGCCAATTGAAAGCGGCGCGCGGACCAAAGTCCCATACGTGCAGTGCAACGGAGCGACACGGGAAGCGGATGGAGGGTGGTCGTGTTCAAATTGTGGTTCTCGCGTTAGCGCCACGCGCATTCATCTTCACGGATGAAGGGGGGGGGTCAAAAAGTGGCCCTCGTCTTGTCGCCGCGCATGTTCGTCTTGCAATTTTGCAACATAATCGCGCGTGGAAGGTGGCGGGGTTGGTGGTTTTCAAAGAACTGTTTCCGCATTAGCGCCACGCGCGTTCGTTTTAAACATTTGCCACACTTTCCATCATGAAAAGGCAGAGCGTTGTCAAGACGGAGCTCTCGCTTCAACGCCGCACACGTTGGTGTTAACATGTTGCACTAATTTTACGGATGGCGGGCGGCTCAATTCCAACGCGGGGTTCCCGCAATGGCGCCATGGGTATTCGTCGCGAAGCCTTGCGATTGATTTCAAGATTGAGCACTTGTCGTCTTCAACAAATCGGCTGTCGCTTGAGCGTCGCGCGCTTTCGTTTTGATGCAACGTTGGCCAGGATGGGTAGCATGTTTTTCAAAATCCCCCAGGCGGCCAGAAGGTCGGTCTGGCGGCTAGGTGGCCGCCGTCGCCGCCCCGTCGCCGCCTCGACGCCGCCCGTCGTCTGGATTTGAAGTTCGGTCTGACGGCTATGTGGCCGCCGTCGCCACCCCGTCGCCGCCTCATGTCGCCGTCGCCGCGCCGTCGCCGCCGTCCAGCGACCTCGGCCGCCCGCGACGCGTCAGAGCGTCCAAGTTGGCCCAGAATGAAGCCTGGCCCCAGATGGCCCCATGTTGCTTCCAAAACGCATCGAAATACTTTCAAGAGAGCCCCCGAAAGCCAGAAGGCGGCGCACGACCGCCCAAGACGGCCCAACAATTCACAAATGTTGCCACCCAGGTGGCCCTCGAAGCCCCTAAAACTGCAAACGCCCGACAGCCTAAACAAAAACTCCCAGGAGGGCACCAAGAGGCCCAAATCGCCTGGACTCATTAGATGGTCGCTTGATTGTAGCGCTCTGTGTCCTCATGACTTTTTTTGCCTGGTTAGCGCACCAGCGCCCAAGAAGGCCGAACTTTCACCCAAAAATTGCCCAGGACGCCGCCGAGACGAGCCCAGTGCGCCCCAGGGCGGCCGCGAGACTGGCCCAAATCATCTCGGCGAAAACCCCAACCAGATGCAGTTGTGAAGGCCGCAATTGTGGAACACGAAAGCGAAACGCGCGAGGGGTGTGTCAGGGTGCGGGGGAGGGGCGACGCGCGCACGCTGCCACTGGGGCCTTCAGCGGAGCTCCCTGTGGGGCCACGGAGCGAGTGAGTGGCATGCAACACCACAAGGGGGCGGCAAGTGGGATTTCCCAGTCTGGGGTCTGCGGTGGAGCTCCCTACAGAAACCTGGGGAATCCTGGGGAGTCCTGAGACATCCCCAGACATCCTGGCGAACCTTGGGCTATCCTGAGGAATCCTGCGGAACCCTTCGGAATCCCGAACAACACTGAGGAACCCTGAAGCATCCCGCGGAATCATGCGGAATCCCAGTAAATATATGATGGGGGACCCTGCGGAGTCCTCAAGAACCTGGAACATCCAAAAGAATTCTGGGGGATCCTCCAGCCGTGGAGCCCAAGGTTGTCGAAGCATCGCAGTTGTATGTCGCGCCAGAGGCACGTGCCTGCCGAATTTGAAGCGCGCGCGGCTTTCTGCGGAGCCCCCGATGAGGCCACTAAGCGCCTGAGAGCTGTGCCGACATCAGCGCGGGCACGCATGCAGGCCGTGATGCGCCCCGCCACGCCGAAGCAAAAACTGATCCGTACAGACTTGATGCGATTTCCTGTTCGACCCTCCAGCCGTTGTGGTGTCCGTCGAACTTGGAGCGGGCAAGCGCGCGGCTTTCGGCGGAGCTCCCGATGACGCCACCAGCCGCGCGAATGCTGTGCCGACATCAGCGCGGGCACGCCTGCAATCCGTGTTGCGCCCCGCCACACCGACCCAGAAACCTTCCGGTACAAATTGAAACCATTTCCTGTTCGATCCTCCGGCCGCGGAGTTCAAGGCTCTTGTAGCACGGCGCTTGCATGTCGCGCAAGAGGCAGGTGGCCGTCGAATTTGGAGCGTGCGCGAGGGCCCGGCCTTCGGCGGAGCCCCCGATGAGGCCAGTAAGGGCACGAGGGTTGTGCCGACCTCGGCGGCAACCTCGTGCTTCTCACACTATTCTCAGACTTACGTCACAAGTGCGAAGTATGGCTAGTGCTCCATGTGTTACACCGGTTGTCTTTACTGTTATTCTAAGTTTCCAGAGCTTGATTCCAACCCTCCGGGTTCGAATCTATCTGCAACACTTCATTTCGTCACCAAGCAGCAACCTGTCGTTTCCGCATTTCGCTTTTCAAATTGGCCGTTCGTGCTTGTATTTCGGTTTCGCAAATATCTCAGACTTGTACTTTACTTTGCTTATTCCGTACTGACCGACCATTTTGCACGACAGGGGAACTTGCCATACTTTTCAGGGCGAGGCCCTCGTTACAATGGCAGGCCCAACTGTGATGGTTTGTCAAGGGGAGGTTTTTGGTGTAGGGGTGTATGAGGAAGGGACTGGGGACGGGAGGATGTATTGCAGCATCGCTGATGCATATTTGGTTGACTCTGGTCCTCCTCCTCCTCCTCCTCGTCCTCCTCCTCCTCTTCGTCGTCCTCCTCCTCAATCCTCGTTCATCCTCCCACAGGCCCTCCTGGGTGGCGGCGCTCGCGGCGGGGCGGTCACAGCCCTGAGGGCATTTCCAACATGTGCGACATTTCCGAAACTGACAATAAAGCTGCGCGATAAGGATGCAAGCGCTGTGGACGCCCGTGCTGGAGCTTCTTCGAGCGCGGCGGGCCGTCGAAAGTAGCCAAGGATCGACCAAAGATGCACGGATGCAAGGGCACCCTTGGAAAGGTTAACCATCCTTACCATCGGTTTCGACTGTCGCCCTCCCCCTCACAGCGTGCACGCCTGCTTTCCCAGAGAGGGGACGACGACGACGACGACGACGACGTCGGCGGGGGGGCTGCCCCTCCTGCGCCATGGAGAGGCCCCGCCCGCCCGCGCTGCGCCCGCCGCCCTCGGCGCGCCGCCGCTTGGCCGGCGGCACTAGCGCTGTGGCGGCGCCTCCGATGGGGGCAAGCAGCCTCGGACGTGCCCCCTATCCCTATCATCAGGTCGGGCATGTCCCCCTACAGGCAGACTTGTCGGGAAATATGGAAAATTGATATATATATATATATATATATATATATATGTATATATACATATATATATATATATACCTATAACCCAAGATAATCCAAAACATCGTCCCCAGACTAATTTTTTCACTGTTCTTGAACATTCCTCCAGTAGAGGGACGAGCCCGACTTAACCCTAACATTGACCATCCAAGAGGCGATGCCAATCTTAGGAATGCGCCCTCAGAAGCTGAAAGGGAATCCTCAAGGTCGGCATCAAGGTGAGGCGATACCACTCCTAGGGACAGGGATAGGCCCCAGGCTGGCAAAAGAGGGGAAGGCGGGGGGCTGCAACCAGGCCCCCCGCCTTGTTTTGTGTCGTTGTGTTTTTCATGTGGTGTCTCGCCGGTCGGCGCGGGCCTTTGCCCCTCCCCCTCTTCCCCCCCCCCCTCCACAACACCAGATCTTGGCTGCTTTTTCGGCTGGGCCAGACCCAAAAACCCCCTCCCCCGCGAGGATAAACTATCGTTTTGTGTAACGATGATGTGTTGCTTCTCTATAGATGTGCTTTTTGGATTTGCTTGCGACTACTGCTTGCCAGTCTTTTCTCTATCTTTCTGTCTCTCTCTCTCTCTCTGTCGTTCCTTGTCTGCCACGTGCTCGTGCAAAGCCGAGCTCGGAACTCGAGCCCGAACCAAACTTCAGGACCACAGGAACAACAAGAAGAACATGTCAAGCAAAATAACCAATCATACACTGGCGGCGCGTCGTTTGCAAACGTGGTCAACTGTTTCCGATACCTGAGCGAGCGTACGGATCACCTGATCCCCAAACTTTTGTGTTGTTCGTTTTCGGTTTTACCTTTCAAACCAATGAACGCATTATGCTTTCTCAACACAGACTGTTTCTAGGCTGGGAACTGGCACAGCTCTGAAACAACACTGTGTCTCCGCAACTTTATGTCTGCTTTGTATAGTTTATCTTGATTGCCTGGTTGTCGTGAGGCCTTGGAAAGTTAGCCCCTACCCCCCCGATTACCAGTCCAAGACTCCCCCAACGCCATACAATTCAAATATCAAAAGATGAAACCGACGACACAATCCTAGCATTACGGAAGCGTTACTTTCCACAGGTGTCAAGTGCTTCCAACATGAAAGACGAAGCGTTTTGCTTCTCGACAAATGGCGTTATTTAGATCTTGCTCGTTTTCAAGAAGGAGCTCTCTTAAACCTTCGTGGTGTCTGCACAAGCTCGGGGATTACCTGGTAGCAAGATCGCTTCACGAATACAGTTGTGGGAATCAATGGCAAACAACGGTTTATACATCCAAGCCATTGGTTCGTTAGGTCGGGAACGGGTGAAACCTGTGAAAACACAATGTTCCCGCAGTTGTCAGACTGTGGCTTTTGCTACGTGGTTTTCTTGGTTTGTTTGTTTTGTATGCAAGCTTTGGAATGTGTAAATATCTCCCCTTCCTGCACATCCAACACCACAGCACCAACATAGCAAACATGAGCACAACACACAACATAACAAGCACCCACACCATTGCGGACGCATTGATTTTTTTCGCAGGCTTCACTTGTTCCCAACCAAAAAACGTTATCTGGCCTGTGCAGACATATGACCACTCTTGAAGTGTTTTGGTTTTCAACCAAAGAGCTGGCCTTACGCCCCAAACGCTGGGATCACCTCGTCCCAAGAGTGTGGCTCTCCGTCAGACAAGGCAAACATAAAGACGCCAATTGCAAACACTTCTCTACAGTGCAACACATATTGCTTTAGATTGGAAAAAAGCGGAGCCTGTGAAAACACGATGTTTCCCCAATTGTATGACTGCCTGTTATGCTTTGTTATGGGTTTCCTAATGTTTTGGTTCTCCAGGGTATTGGAATTTGACATTTGACCCCCCGACCAAACGTCCAAGGTCACGGATGCTTCTGCTCTCTTTCTGCCACACTACTACTACTTCTGCTAACACCAGAACCACCTCAACTACTACTGCGCTCCCCCCCCCGCCACCACAACCTTGCTGG